TCCTGCACCCGCCCCCCCCCATCCTGCACCAGCCCTGCCCTCCTCCTACCCCACTCCTGCACCAGCCCTGCACCACTCCTGCACCAGTCCTGCACCATCCTGCACCACCCCTGCACCAGCCCTGCACCACTCCAGCACCAGCCCTGCACTACTCCTACACCACCCCTGCACCATCCTGCACTACTCCTGCACCACCCCTGCACCAGCCCTGCACCAGCTCTGCACTACTCTTGCACCACCCCTGCACCACCCCTGCACTACTCCTGCACCACCCCTGCACTATCCTGCACCAGCCCTGCACCAGCCCGCAGCCCTCACCTAACCCCTACAAGCCAGGTGCACCAGCCCTGCACCACCCCTACACCAGCCCTGCACCACACCCCTACACCAGCCCTGCACCAGCCCTGCACCAGCCCTGCACCAGCCCTGCACTACTCTTGCACCACCCCTGCACCACCCTGCACCACCCCTGCACCAGCCCGCAGTCCTCACCTAAACCCTACAAGGCAGGTGTTTCTCTCAGCCCATGTTAGCAAGGAGAAACCAGGCCTCAGAGGGGAGGTGCCCGCCTAAGGGGCACACTGGGCAGCAGGGCCAGCACCTGAATTCCAGTCTTCTCTCTGGGTCTCGGTTCCCCTTTCTGTCAGGTGAGGATGTGGGCCTATGTGCACCCTAAGTCCTCTTTGGGTGACAGAAAAGGTCCTGGAGACACAGGCCCTCACCCAGAGAGCAGAAGCCAGTGGTAGTCACTCCTCCTGCCCCTTAGGCAGGGTCCCAGGGGCACAAGGGACACACCCGGCCTGCCTGTCCTTGCCTCCCTCACTTCAGTGTCCACCCATCTGTCCTGCTCTGCACTCAGGCCCATGCCCTGGGTGCTGCACGTCACCCTCCAGAGCTCCCTCCCTCAGCTCCTCTCTGCCACACAATCTCTTCTGTCTCCCGTGCCCACCTCACCCTCTCCTGGCTGCTCCGGTGGATGTGGCTGGGGCTTGGTATTCACGGGTCATAGAAGCCTGGGGATAAGAGACACTGGGCTTCGGCTGGACCCTGCTTGTCGACCTCCCGCCTCCACTGAGCACCCCACAGAAAGGATGGCTGGGTGCACAGCAGGCATGCAGCGGGCTCCTGGCCAACGCTCACTGGACCTCCTTCCCAGCCCCTCAGGGCCACGTATCCAGCTCACAGCTGTAGGCACCACGGCTCGCATGGGTCCCAGCGAGGCCTGAAATCATACTCCGCAGTGGTTGAGTCAGGACTCAAACCCAGGACTGTGTGGCGAAGGCCCACGTGCCTCCCTAAACATCCCAGTCCACATGTTTAAAGGCAGTTTGAACTGCTCCAGGCAAGGCAAACCTCACTTTTCCTCCATGAGACCTCTCCCCAGGCACAAGGGGATCTCAGAAAGTGCATAGAAAAACAGAATTAAAGTATGAGCTAACCCTGCAGGAAGGGCGACATCCATGCGGAGTTTCTCCCTAATACGCATCTTCCACAAGCTTTTCCAAAGACAAAGGCAGACATTCGGATGCTCCCAGAATCACTATGACTGGAGGTCAGGGCAGCCTACTATCTCCGCCCTGCCCCAGACAAGCCAAGCTGAGCCTTCACCAAACCCAGTGCCGAGCCAGGGGGACCAGGCAGGGCACAGGGAGGCCCGAGGGCTCATCCTTCCCCAGTGTCTGGGTGTTGCAGGAACCCTGGCAGCTTTGCCACAGAACCCCAGCAGAGAGAGGAGGCCGCAGACGAACACGCATTCCAGGCCCTATGACAGGCCCAGGTTCGCAGACAGGAGTGGGCAGAGCCTCAAACACAGGGCATCAGCCCTCCCTGTGCCCAGCTGGCCTGGCCCAGCCTAGAAGGCCCACCAGGACGCCAAGCCTCTGCACACAGCAATGGTCAGGGGGCCATAGACAGCCACACATAGGGTGCAGGGCAGGGAAAGGGCTCCCACCATGCCTCCACCACCAAGAGTGGCAGCCTTAGGACCCAAGGCACAGTGTGGGACCCCAGGGATCCCCTGCTAGCAGCCACACACAGGTGGTGATCCGTATGAACGCCCGGGTACTGACCCTCACTCACAGCTGCCAGGCAGGAGCCCATGGTGGCCAGAGCTCCACACTGGCTTCCCCCACTATGTCACCATTGTCTAGATTCCCAGCGGGACAGGAATCCCGTGCCCGGCAGAGCCTCGTAGGAGTCCTGCTCCAAACTCATGCCAGAAGTGACCCACCCAAGGTCCTGCGGTCATCTGGACAGACATGGCCCTGGAATCCGGTCTTTTCTGCCATGTCCCCCAAAGGTCCCCCTAATTTCTTGGTGGCAGGACCTGGGCCTCCCACCCAGCCAGGTGCCCAAGGTCTCAGACAGAGCCGCCTAGTCCTCGCCTCCAAGGTTGCCCTGGCTGGAGCAGGGCCAGCAGGGATGACGAGGAAGGACAGCAGTCCCCAAACCCAGCCCTCGTGGGGAGGCACGGTCCCCAGAGCACAGGGACCCAGGCTGTGTGGGGCACAGTCACCTCTGGGCAGCAGGGAGCAGGAAGCGTACTCGGCAAGCTCCAGACCTGGTAATTTCCTCATTTGTCTTGTCAACATCCCTGTCCCACAGTGTCGAGTTCATCACGTAAAGATTTTCTGCTAAGGAAGACACTTAGTGTATGTCTGGGAAGCAGCGGGGCCTGGGCCGAGGCCAGGACCTCTGCGTGCACACCACCAGAAGCACGGATGTCTGTTTACAGGAAGGCTCACGGCGCCTGCCCACCGTGGTGCCCAGCAGGGGACCGAGCTACGATTGCGGGGAGGGGACCGACACGGTGCACTTGAGGCCCCCAGGCCATCCCCACCACAGCATTCATAAGGTGTCCTCGTCCTGCACTGGGCCCCAGAACGTGCCTCCACAGGGACAGCCCGTGACGATCTCCACCAGAAACCCAACAGGCTCTAGGAGAATCGGAATCCCGTGCCCGGCAGAGCCTCGGCACACCAACCGGTCCAGCCCGTGGTTAGGCCAGAACCTGCAGGTAGGACCAGGCTGGGCACCACCCTGAGCCCAGTGTCTGCACCAAAGACACCCTGGAAGTGATGATAGTGAGGGCCCAGGGCAGGGCCAGTGTGAATGGCCACCCTGGGGTCTCTGCTCCATTCACCACCATCACCACCGAGGCCAGGCCCAGGCCAGGCCCTGGTCAACACCGCTGTCCTCATGGAGGTCCAGGCTCTCCCCCAAGGATGTCGGTGGCTTCCCTCTTGATCCCCAAGAGGGTTTCCATGCATTCTCAATGGAGCAAAGGTGTCACCTCAAGGAGGAGAACCCAGTTGCAGGTAGGCAAGAGCAGGGTGGGCACCACAAGGACACCCAGCCTCCAAGCCAGCCGCGCCCAACCGGACGGAGTCCCTCGACCTTCATTCCCCTGGCTAGGGAGAATTCACTTCTCTCCTCTTCAGCCAATACAGTGGGGGGAAGACAAACAGTGGGAGAATTGTCATTCGAGAGAGCTCAGGTCTCACTGGAGGGTCTTCCCGTTCACAGCAAGAGCAGGGGTTCACGACTGGCCACCACTGTGTCCCCCAGGATACATTTGGCCAATCTGGGGACATTTTGGTTGCCCCTACCTGGGCTGCTACCAGCACCCAGTGGGTGGAGGCCGGGATGATATTAAACACCCCACAACACCCAGGACAGTTCTTCCCATGAGAAGGAACCACCCAGGCCAAGATGTCAGCAGAGCTGCTGCTAGATGCCAGATTTAGAGCCACGGGCGGTCAGCACACTCCACAGGGCCCCCAGCCTAATGGTTAAGAGAGCCTGACCCCACATGGTAAACCGAGGTTCGAATCCCAGCCCCAGCAGCTTGAAAAACCCCACATAGGTGGGTGAACCCAAGCCCACCAGGATAGAGAGATGGGGAGAAGGCAGTGAGCCGTGACCACACGCCCTCGGGGCAGCCTCCTCCCTCTCCCTCTCTCTGTCTCTCTGTCTCTCTCTGGTGAGCACACATACCCTTTGGCAAATGAAATAAAAAAGTCTTCACAAAGTGCCAGAAACCAGCCCCAAGGCCCGTAAACCAGATCGCCATGCCCAGAGACCCCTTGAGCATCAAAGGTGATCCCTGGAAGAACTCACCCCCAGTTTCAAAACCAGGAAGCTCCTCCCCAACTCCCAAGCAGGGACAGGCTGCCCTGGGCCCAGGGTGGCTCAGACGCCATTGGGAATGAGGACAGGAAAAACCACAAGCCATATGGGTCCTGGGCAGAGCCTGGGTAGAGGCCGCCAGACTGTGGCCCCAGCAGGGGCCTCCCGCAATACAGTTCAAGAAGGAGGGCAGAGAGGGGTGCGTCAGCGAATCCCAGCAACCACGGCCGGCCGGCGTGCACGGGCCTGAGCCGCTTCCTGACAGCGACCCACAGTTATCCAGCAAGGGGGCCCGTGACTCCCTGACCCATGTGCAAGGAAACCTAGGCACAGAGTGCTTAAGCCACGTGACCAAGTCGAAGGGCCCCACAGTAGAAGACATGGCCCTGGAGAGACGGCCCAGATCAAGATGGTGACAGACAGGAAGGAGCGCTCGGCTCCGCCTGCTGGGCGGGGCCGAGCGGGGGGGCGGGGCCCGTGGTGGCCTGCAGGTGCCTGCCTACCTGAGAAGATGGAAGCCAGCCTGAAGATGTCGGAGAGGCGGGAGGTCACCGGCTCATATGGGGAAGCTTCGTAAAACTCCTCACCTGGAAGAGAGAGCGGCGTCAGGCATGGCACCCGCCTGGAGCACACCGTGCTTGGCACACCTGCCCAGGAGGCCACGGCGGGCTTGCGCTGTGCCATGGCCTCTCCTCAGTGGGTCGAGCCTCACAGGGCCTGCAGCAGTCGGGCGCTTCCTGGTGCACAGAGAAGTTGCTCCCCAGGGCAGCTCAGAACCCCCCAACCTCCCTGTGCAGCCAGCCCTCCTGGAAGGACTTCCAGTTGCTTCTGGAAAGAAGGCAGGGGCAGGTGGGACAGTGACAGCCCATGAAGACCAGGCCCAGGTCATGGGATGTGAAGCCAGGGCCCCACCAGGGTCTTCAGTGTGACTTCCTCGCTTCACATGTGGAGGCTCCGAGGTGGCCCAGAGAGGGGAAGCCCCAGCCTCAGATCACACAGCTGCTCCTGGCCCTCACACTAGTGTCTTGTTACTAAGGAGGAGGGAATGTCCTCTTTGCTTCCCACCATGTGACCAGGAACACCTGGCCAGAGGCTGGGCAGGAGCCTGACACCCTTCCCATCCCCTGGGCCCCTCCCACGGGCCCGGCCCGACCTCCCACCACCTGCTGGCTCCTCGGCCCTCTCCCTGAGGCCTGGGTCTTGTTGGAGGCCCCTGACTGTTAGAACAGAGTGACAGGAGGGTGTGGCACGGACTGCCCAGAGGCCTCACCACCCCACCAGGTACCCGCCCTGGGCCACACCTCAG